TCCCCACATTTACTGGAAAGCTTGTTGCTATTAGCAGTCGTGAGGGGTCAAGGCAGACAGGAGGTGGAGCAGGGAGGTTCTGGAGCAGGATTGCCTCTGCTCTCTAGCAACCTGAGATGGCAGGCACCTCACTGCGGGACTCTGGCCCAAGAGTCGTAGTTTTGTTTGTTGCTACCCACGTATATGTTAGTAAAATATAACCCCACTTGCTTTTCGGCTTGGCCTTGTGCTCAGGCTTGCTCTCCTAGGTTTCCTTGCTGCTGCCCCTGGAGTCCGTGTGTCACTTCCTCAAGCCTGGTTTCCAGCTCGTTTCCCCTTGGCTCTTTCCAGTCAACACACTCTCCTGTCCAGCTCCATGTCTTCTCTCTGTCCAGCGTGCCTGCCCTCGGCAGAGGGGTTCTGCGGAAAGCCTACCGAAATAGGTTGGCATAGTGACCATTCATGAGACACACTCCCTGGCACCAGCATCGTGCTTTTTGCTTTTCGTTGCTCGTTTTCATCTCTTCTTCACTGTAGCCCTAGGGGAGACGTGTGTCTAGCTCGACTTATAAAGGAGGAAAGGAAGGCTCAGAGGAGATAGATAACCCATGCAAAGTCCCACAGCTGGTCAGCGGCAGAGTGAGGACTGGGACTATCGAACCGCACGCTCATGCTCTCAATGCCACCACGGGCTCTTCTTTTTTTTTTTTTTTTAAATTTTTTTATTAATAATGTATTATTTGTTTCAGGGGTACAGGTCTGTGATTCATCAGTCTTACACAATTCACAGCGCTCACCATAGCACATACCCTCCCCAGTGTCCATCACCCAGCCACCCCATCCCTCCCACCCCCTCCCCTCCAGCAACCCTCAGTTTGTTTCCTGAAATTGAGTCTCTTATGGTTTGTCTCCCTCTCTGGTTTCGTCTTGTTTCATTTTTCCCTCCCTTCCCCTATGATCCTCTGTCTTCTTTCTCAAATTCCTTATATCAGTGAGATCATATGATAATAGTCTTTCTCTGACTTATTTCGCTTAGCATAATACCCTCTAGTTCTATCCACATTGTTGCAAATGGCAAGATTTCATTTTTTGATGGCTGCATAATGTTCTCATATATATATATATATATATGTATGTGTGTATGTATATATATGTATATACACCACATTTTCTTTATCCATTCATCTGTCGATGGACATCTAGGCTCTTTCCACAGTTTGGCTATTGTGGACATTGCTGCTATAAATGTTGGGGTGCACGTGCCCCTTCGGATCACTACATTTGTATCTTTGGGGTAAATACCCAGTAGTGCAATTGCTGGGTCGCAGGGTAGCTCTGTTTTCAACTTTTTGAGGAACCTCCATACTGTTTTTCAGACACCACGGGCTGTTCTTTAAAAAGAACTGTTTGAATGAAAGTAACTAATGATGCTGGGTGATGGTTATGTGGAGGTTTATCATATCATTCCTTCTCTGGAAAAGAAAGTAACCCTTTAAGACTTAGTGATACAGGAAATGCATAAACATATATATATTTTTTAAAGTTATATGGGGTGCAAAATGTGAAAACTCAATCATCCTCATACCTACCTGTCTAATCCCTAGAGGATAATACAGGTGACAGTCTGGAGTGTATATTTCCTTTTATATGTATTTTTATATATGTCCATATGCACATGTTTTCACGTATGTATTGTGCACACATACAAGTGTTTCTTCAGACTCCATTAAGGAATTACTGGGTCAAACAGTACATGTATTTACAAATTCACGAGGCTCCATGAATTTTCGCTCACCTATCTTATGCTGTATGATTTGGGATGAGGCCAGAAATCCTTTTTGGAAACAGGTGGGATATAAATAATAAATTAATACTTTGTAAAAACAACCCTCAGTCAGGGAGAGTGGTGACTTGGGTACTAGGGAAATATACCAGCTCTCAGTCCCAGACCACAAGGCATGCCTGCAGCCCCAGCCTGACCTGCTGATTTGATGGATGCCACCATTAGGAGGCACTAGGAAGGAGGACTGAATTTCCCAGTCTTTGCAGAAAAAAGCCCTCTAATGTCTTGCTTACCTTGGCTGCACCAGCTCCAGGCCCCACCTGCCTGGCCTGATTTGAGGCAGACTGCCTGGCTACCCTTGGGGCTGCCCTGGAAAACAGCTCCTGTCACACCTCTTACAGCGAGGAAAACAACCAGCTGAAGGAGAGGGACTTGCAGAGCCTGGGGTTGGGATGAAGGGAAGGCCATCCTTTCCACGCTGGTCTTCACCTGTCTAGCCCAGGGAAACCTTGGGGTTACTATTTAATGCAGTAGATCTCTGTTGTCCTCGTTCCCCCAAACACAGTGTTAGTTTATGTACTTTCTGAAAAATTTTTAAAAGAGCCTTTTGATATGCCTTAGGAAGATTTGGTGAAGAGAAGCAGAGGCAGATTGGAGTTTATAGCCCTTATTTTTCCTACTCTTTCCATATATATAAATACATATACCATATTATTATATATACGTATTATTTCTGTGTGTGTTTTCTAAAGACAGCCTTTTCCTTTTAATCACAATTCATAGGTGGTGACCTGAGAGTACAGGCCCTAACTCCCTTATATGGCAGTTTTTATTTAACTTTCTTTTGAGCAGAAAAAAGTGATCAAGTGTGAAGTTGCTTTTAAATTTTAAGAGAAGAGAAGGCTACTTTGGCTTTGTATTTTCTTCCAGAGATCCTAAGATATATATATATTTTTTAATATACAAGCAACCCGTGATCACATGCCTGCTGTGATAAACAGTGCATAAGCAGCTCTTGTGTCTTTCCAATACTCTCCTCAGAGGGAACCACGGTTAACACTTCAGTGCATTTCCAGACCTCTTCCTTTGCAGTTACAAATACAAATCCATATATTCACATCCTTTTTATTTTATTTTATTTATTTTTTTAAAGGTTTTATTTATTTATTTGAGAGAGAGAATGAGATAGAGAGATCATGGGGGTCAGAGGGAGAAGCAGACTCCCCGCTGAGCAGGGAGCCCGATGCGGGACTCAATCCCGGGCTCCAGGATCATGGCCTGAGCTGAAGGCAGTTGCTTAACCAACTGAGCCACCCAGGCGCCCCACATCCTTTTTTTTTTTTTAAATGAATGGTATTCTGTGGCTTGTTCCCCCCGCCCCCACTTAATATATCTTTAAGCTCTCTCTATACTGGTACATATAGATGGATCTCATTCTTTTTAACAGCTGCATAACATGAATGGGTGCAACTGTAATTTATTGTAATTTTTCAGTGTTACAAATGGTCCTATGGTAAACATCTTTGTGCTAAAGGATCTGGAGTTGCAGGTAAGGGGGGTAATACATTTGTTATAATCCCTAGAAAGAAAAGCAGGGATCCAGGTAACTAGTCCTGGTGTTCTGAGAACGAAGATTTAGTGAGTAAGTGAGTGTGGGAAATGGCTGCATGCTGAGCCTCCCTCCTGGTGATTCACAATTAAGTAGCATATTAAAAGTTCTGGAAATTCTTCAGTAACCACTCACTGCTGAGTGGTTTAAAAAGAGTTGTTTGCGAAGGGAAGGACTTTAATTCTTTGTACACATCTGTTAAATTTTTCCTGAACTGGGCACCTGGGTGGCTCAGTCAGTTAAGTGTGGGCCTTAGGCTCAGGTCATGATCCCAGGGTCCTGTGATTGTGTCCCGCATTAGGCACCTGCTCAGCAGAGAGTCTGCTTCTCCCTGTACCCCTCCCTCTGCTTGTGATCTCTCTCTCTCTCAAATAAATAAAATCTTTATAAATAAATAAGTAAATAAATAAAATTTTCCTGAACAGTTTTGTAAATGCCACCCAGTTGTAATCTCTCAAAGATAGGGCAGCATTTAGATAGGAACTCGGCCACATATTGTTCAAATAGGCTGGGCAGCTGGGGTGGAGTCAGGTTTGGATTTTGTCCAGGAACCAGGCTAGGCCTGTCAGCTCCTCCCAAGCCCCTTACATAAGGTGAGAGGGACCCAGCAAGGCCTGGCATAAACCAAGTCTTGAGGCTGATTGTGGGGAGAGGGGTGGAGTTTCACTCTGGTCTAAGTCTGGCTGAGAGGTGATATCAGACCCAGCAGACACAGTACAACAGTGGGACCCAGGCCTCTAACACAGAAGATTGTTGACCCAGAATCCCTAGAGAAGGAGCCACTTGGGGTGTGAGGGGGCAGCCTTAACCCACCCTCCACCCACCCGCCCAACCCCTTGGCCCACCTCCTCCACTTAGTGAAATCATGATTAACTGCCCCGGTTCTGTGCAGATGTTACCTCTGTGAAGCCTCTTCCGATTCGGCCAGACCACTCCTGTGTGTGCTGGTAGCACCATTGCTGTACCTCTGTTAGAGCAGTTGGCAGTCTGGCTCGTCTTCTAGTTCATTCATACTGGGCTGGTCAAGAGGAAGGGCCACATAATGAATTATGTACTTCACAGTCTTCCCCAACAAAGGGGGAGCTCCTTTATTGTGGGGCATGCCTTCACTCATTCCGTCATTATTGAGCACCGACCGTGTCAGGCATTAGCTCTGCTGCCAGAATACAGTAGTGAATAAGGTGGACCTAATCCCTGTCTTGGTTCATATCCTTACATTTCCTGTAATCTAGCCTGATGTCTAGCTCAAAGCTTGGCACAGTAGGCTTTAGAAATGGTAATCTAATTGGGAAAGCTGCTTTTGCATAGCGAGCACTTGTTTTAACTTCTGTGCTACAGATTAGAAAACATTTCCTCAAGATGCCTTGCCTAGTTTATATGACAGTCATTTGTGTGAAATATTTTAAAGACATTTGGAGTGACCTTGGGAGCCTGATGGAGTCTGGGTGGTTGGCACCCCCGGCCACCCCTAGGGCTCACACCTGGCTGGGACCGAGCTGGCAGAGCACGCGGCTGGCCACTGCCCGCAGGCCCCGCCCCAGCCCCGCCCCCAGGCACCACCCCGGACCCCGCCCCCGCTCTCCATAGTTACGGCGCTGTGGAGGCGGCGGCCATCTTGGCGGCGGAGCGATGAGCGGGTCCAACCCGAAGGCTGCGGCCGCGGGGTCGGCGGCTGGGCCTGGGGGACTGGTGGCCGGCAAGGAAGAGAAGAAGAAGGCGGGCGGCGGCGTGCTGAACCGACTCAAGGCGCGGCGGCAGGCGCCCCACCACGCGGCAGAGGATGGCATCGGGGCGGCGGTCACGGAGCAGGAGCTGCTGGCTCTGGACACCATCCGGCCCGAGCACGTCCTGCGCCTCAGCCGGGTCACCGAGAGTGAGTGCCGGCCCGACTGCGCCCCTGCCCTCGCCCCGGGCCCTGGGCCCCTTATCGCCTTCAGCGGAGCCGGCCGCTCGCCGCCTGACCGGCCCGGGGGTCCACCCAGGCCCCCTCGGCCGGCCAGGCCGCGTCGCCCGCCGCTGTGCCTTGCCGGCTCTGCGCTCCCCACCCTCAGCCAGACCTGGTTGGGAAGGGGTTCTCCTTGAGCTTGACCGCGCTCCCCTGTGTCCGGCCGCGCCAGGCTCCTCCTGGGCGGGCCCCAGCTGGAACTCCCGGCTGGGCCGTTCTCCTCCTCAGCTGGATCCGTTTGGGTAGGGAGCCCCTTTAGCTTAACCGGAACCTCCTGACCCTGGTTAAATGGGACCGCTGCCCCCTCGTCCTGGAAGACCCACGGGTATCAGTGAAGTTCCTGCTCAGCCGGGCTCCCTCACCCTGCCCCCTCCCAGCCTCTGCAGTCTCTGCCCGCCCAGACCCCTACCTGCTTTCTCTGCCTTTCCCTCCACTCCGTCCCCTGACAGCCCCCTCTCCAGCCTGCCTTGGCTCCCTTACTCCTTTGGTCCCAAGCCTTGCCCCTTTGGGTGCAGGGGGGCCCTTCCTTCCTCAAACATATTGCCGTGGCGTTTTATGCAAATTTAAAACTGCCACTTTAGAAGATATGTTAATAAAGTTTCAGTTTATGTACACAGTCTAAAATGTGAATCTCGCTTTTGACACCTGTTCTAGTGAATTAAGAATGTGTCAGGGTTTAAGAAATGCATTTCTTGCGTAAAAATGCAACCATCCTACAAGGTTTCATTGATAATAAGGAAGGGTGGGAAGAAATACATTGCCCACCCCCTGTCTTGGTTCTTCTCCCTTTTTATATTCTCTTCCAAGCCAAGCCCTGACTTGCCACCCTTTCTCTTGCTGCTATTTCCCCCTCTCCCAGGTTAGACCCTGCTTGCCCTGCCCATCCTGCGGCCCTCCAGACTTCTAACCCTGCGACACCAGCACTCCCTCCGTGGATCTAAGGCTGCCACAGCGTTACCTGCTGAATTGCTTTAGCTGTCAGCCTGGGGCTGCTCAGGTGTACCTCAGGTAGCTGGTGGCAGCTCCAGTAATTTGGGGGCGGGAGTTTAGACAGTGGGCCTTGGTCCAGCCTGTATGAAAAGGAATTCCCATCTCCTGATAGGTTTAACTTGATTCTTGATATTTCAATGTCCCCCCTTTCCATTGGGTTGGGCCTGTCCTTTGCATGCCTGAGTATATCTATAGAAGGTCTTGCTATTCAGTTTATTGAAACATTGTAAAAACGCTGCTTCTGTTCTGTCCCCATTTTCATTTGGGGCTCTGAAGGTCCAGAAGTGTGCATCACCTGAGCTTTCTAGCCTCCTGCTTTCTCCTGATACCAAGGGTGAATCAGGCCATTCTAATGCCTGGCCCTTAGTGGCATTCTCAGTGGGCACTCAGGTCATGTGTAGGAGCTTGGGATTGGTGCTCTTGCTCAAACTCACCCCAGTAGCCTGCTGGAGAAAGCCACAGGTCAGAGCGTGGTGACCTCTGGATTTTGTTCAAGTCTGTTCCGTTCAGCAAGTTATTTATTGAATACCCTTGAAAGGTGCAGAAGCCATCTCAGTCTTTTTAGGATTTACAAAGTAATCAGCAGGTCTCAAGTTTGCCATATTACTGGAGAGACAGCTTGTAAAACATGGAACAACTAACAGAAGCAGACAGTGTAGGAAAAAGTGCTCAAATGAGTTGTGGAGAAGAAGATGCTATCAGGAGTCACATCGTAGAAAGAAATCAGGGAAGTTTCCTATGATCAGTACCATATTGACCAGCTGCTCAGGTTGTCACGGGCTCCACTTCACTTTGGCCCAGTGCCCTCCCAGCAGATCTGTCCTGTCATCTGTGTAGGTATGGTCCACCGCCTGATTTTGTACAGTCCGCAGGCTAAGAGTGGTTTTTACATTTTTAAATAGTTGAGGGAAAAAAAATGTCGGCACACATGGTTATATGCAATTCATATTTCAGTGTCTGTAAATAGTTTTATTGGACTACAGACATGCTCATTTATATGCAGGTTGTCTGCGACTGCTTTTTGCCACAGAGACAGAGTTGAGTAGTTGTGACAGAGACAGTGTGGCCCCAAAGTCTAAATTATTTATGATGTGGCCCTTTACAGAAAACATTTGCTGATCTCTGCTGTGCGATACCCATGGCCGGCGAACGGGCACTATATTGGCCATTAGATCAGCATAAATATTTTATTTATTTATTTATTTATTTATTTATTTATTTATTTATTAAGTATTCTTTAAAAAAAATTTTTTTTAAAGATTTTATTTATTTATTTGACAGAGAGAGACATAGCGAGAGAGGGAACACAAGCAGGGGGAGTGGGAGAGGGAGAAGCAGGCTTCCCCGCAGGGAAGGGAGCCCGATGTAAGGCTTGATCCCAGGACCCTGGGATCATGACCTGAGCCGAAGGCAGACGCTTAACGACTGAGCCACCCAGGTGCCCCAGCATAAATGTTTTAAAATGGATTTGTAAAAAAATTCTGTTGTGACATCAAGTTAATAGATCATGGAAGCTTTGTAGGCCATTTTGGGGGTGTTTCCAAAGCAAGCCCCTGATACTATCCCTGTTTCTAAAAGTGTTAATCTTTCATCCCATCCAAATCCATGGTCTTGTTTTCTTTCTTCGATCCCCTTATTTTTCTCACACAACTTTTGCTTGTAACATAAGAGGAAGTTTTTGGGTGTATTTTAAGTGAATTGTGTAAGAAGAAAAACCCTGAGTTTGCTTCAAAACTTGACAAAGAAAGAAATGGTAGTTTTGGAGGATTACTAAACAGCATTTGTCTTTCTCTCTCTCTCATTTTCAGATTATTTATGTAAACCCGAAGATAACATCTACAGTATTGATTTCACTCGTTTCAAAATTCGAGACTTGGAGACAGGGACAGTGCTCTTTGAGATTGCCAAACCCTGTGTTTCAGGTAGGCCTCAGTATTGTTGCAGCCACTTGAGAAGGTCTCCGAGGCTTCCGTTTGTGTGAGCCGTTGCATCCCGTGGCTTGTACTCCAGCATGTCCATGCAGTGCCTCCTCCTGAAACCTGGCCTGCCTGGCGTACTGGTCGGAAGCTGCGCTGAGAGGCTGGTGTTTGTTGAGTATCTACCCTCTGCTGATTGTACATGTGTTTCTGTTTGCATCAGGTCCTATAATCCTCACATTTCTGGGAGGAGTTATTATTCCCATTTTACAGATAAGGAAACTGAGACCCAGAATTTCCAGGTACTTTCCTAAGGTTCTGTGCTCGTTCATCTTACCATGTTGCCTCCACTTAGGATAGGAAGCCTTGGAATTAAAGTAGAATGAGGAAAGCTCCCCTGAGCCTTGTGTCCTAGGAACACTGGAAGGGGTGATGCTGAGGGTCCCGGTCTGGGCTCCCCTGTCTTCTCCCTCGCTTTCCTTTAAACAGTGCCTCCTATTTCCCTGTAAGTCCTAGTTTGGATTTTAATCTTCACCATTTTCTGGATGAACAGAAAGCCCAGACCTATGAACTACTTGGGATTCCTTAAATTAGCTTTGAATAGATGCTTCCCGTGCTTGTGATGCAGCCCCAGGGTGACTCATTCCTGGCGAGGGGACCACATGTCAGTCTTGGAGCTCATCACCGGAGACGGAGCGCCCTCTGGCATTAGTTTTTAGAACACCAGTGCGATGACTGCAGAGTTTTCACCGAGCTCTGTATTAATAATTCTTTTTGCAAAGCTCTTCTCATCTGATTCGCTGCTCAGAAGAGCCTGTAAATTTGGTAAGGCAGGTATTAGTATCCCAGGTAGGTCGAAAGGCTTTCCTGAGAAGGTCTCAGCTCAGGTTCGTGGTACAGCCAAGGCTGGAGCCCTAGTCTTCTCACCCCATCCGGCATCCTTTGTGCTCTCATAATCTAGGGCCGACCAAGGCACCTAACGGCTCCAGCCTGTGGGTGCTTAGCTGGTGTCGGGAGGATCAGGGCCAGCCAGCTTCCTGGGTCTGTGGCATTCACATCCCTAAGTGACCCGTCCCAGTACTTCAGATGTTTTGCGGACCCCAGGGCTGCTTCAGATGTGTGGATTTGGATTAGGCTGGGCCCATAGTAGTCATTTCAATACAAAATTGAACTATCTCAAGAAGGTCAGCTGCAGATCCTATAAAAATACCTCGATTTTCAACTTCTCCAGTCTTTACCTTTAAGGATCTTGATTCACTTAGAATATGCTCCCACTGAATCAGTACCCTCCTGCTGCACTTGTTCTAATGAGTTTGAATTCCTGAGAAGATTTGGTCTGATTCTCTCTGAATCACATTGTTGGAGCGAGGACTCTCCAGTGGCTGGCTCTGAACCCCTGCTCAGTCTGGTTGCCCATATGCTCTTGGGGTTGTCATTGGCGGAGATGTCTGGGGCTAAAAAAGACATCAGTTGCACCCATATTCAGTCTATACCTGGAGAAAATATTTTTGCTGGAGACTGGATGGCTACTAGTGGGAACTACCTTGTTTTTCACATTAGAATGGTTCTTTGATTCATTTTACAGAACTTCCACTTTCTGGGTTCAGGAATGGACTAGACTGGCTCTCATTCAGGTCCCACACGTTGGTCCATTGCCCATCTATCTGCCTCACTGTTTCCCAGTTGGTCAGTGTTGGACCTGGCGTGGCCTGGAATAGGCATTACGGTACCCCAAGACTAGGCCAGTATCTTCCATTTAAATAACAAGGTTATCTCTAGGGGTTATCTTTGCTGCCTATCAGAAATGTTTGCATTCTTTGAACTGGCCTTTTGACTAGTTTCAACCTTTGTAGTCTCATTCTTCTGGTTGGTGGCTAGGACTGCAGCCTCGTCACCAGCAGACGTGTCTGTATGCTCTCGACCGTGCCGGGGGCCTAGCACCTGGCTTATATTTCAGGCCGGCTCTCTTAGGATATGGCCCAAGCCCTTAAACTACATAAAAGGTAAATAGCTTAGTGTTTGAGAACAAGCTTTGAGTCCCTGGGTTCAAATCCTTGCTTCCCCCATTTACTATTTGGGGGACTTTGGACATGTGACTTAATGTCTCTGAGCTTCTGCGTCCTGATCTGTAACATGGAGATGATGATGACACCCCCACAGGGTTACTCTGAGGATTCTGGGGAGTGATCAGCACAAGGCCTGGTATGTAGCAAATGTGTAGTCGACATTGGCCATCCTGCTGTGGGTGTTAGTACCATTCACTGGTTGTGCTGTTGGGACCGGTGGTGCCAAGACAGCGCACTCGAGATGCTGTGTGCTCACTCTTTCAGACCAAGAGGAGGAGGATGACGATGAAGGTGGGGACACGGATATCAGTGCAGGACGTTTTGTCCGCTATCAGTTCACACCAGCCTTTCTCCGCCTCCGGACAGTCGGAGCAACGTGAGTACCGGCATTTCTGGAGGGGAGAACACTCTTTGTCCACAAAGAATGTTCTTGGTTGGGTTCTGGATTGACTTTAGAGGAGGGAGGAGGCCAAGTAGGGCTCACAGAGGTTTATTTTGCAGAGTGGAGTTCACAGTGGGAGACAAACCTGTGTCAAACTTCCGGATGATCGAGCGGCACTATTTCCGGGAACGCTTGCTGAAGAACTTTGACTTCGATTTCGGCTTCTGCATCCCCAGCAGTAGGAACACTTGTGAACATATCTATGAGTTTCCCCAGCTTTCTGAGGATGTCAGTATGTATCCCTTGACTTCTGTACCATTCTAGATTCTTAGGGCTAGAAGGAACAAACCTTGGAGTCCGTCTGGTCCAACGCCCTCATCTGGCAGAGGAGGGAGGTGGTGACAGGATGCCTTTGTAGGCATTTGACCTCAGGCTTCTCATTTCCTAGTGCTCCTGTCTGGGGTTCCAAACTCTGCCTGTCTGGGAGCATCGAAGGTTTTAATAATGCAGGCCGTCTGCTTTAGGTGCCTGCTGCGGGAAAGGGGGTGACTGAGGGAGAGGCGGGGAGGCCCATGACGATCCCTGGGCCTAGGGTTAGCTGGAGTGTCTCTCTGAGCCGCTTTGGTTTTCCACTATGTTCTGGTCATTGGCTCCTGCCCGGCACTCCTTAGAGGGAGAAGTGAAGCTGGGGGCCAACGAGAATCAGAGGTCTTTCTCATCCTCTGCTGTCAGACTAGATCCACAGGAAAAAGGGAATTGTTACAGAGTTTGGAGCACAAGGGGTGGCCGGATGGAAGCCATGTCTTAGGAAGAGTAATCCCATAGTTCTGAGGAGGAAAAACTCAGGAGGCCCCAGAGGGAGAAGCCGAGGCAGGGGAAGAGGTGGACTGATCGAGAGAAAGAACAGGATTTATCAGTTCCTGGGACTCCGGTGGCGCTTTCTTGGGTTAGCATTCTCTGTTGGTAACCAGGGAAAATGGCTCCAGAACAATGAGAATGTGAGCGGGATCCTGTGAATAGTGAATAGTTGGGGGAGTTTGGCTGAGTTGTAGGGAAGGACCTACATACACTGGTTTTCTCAGAATCCCAGGTCCTTAAAACTGTTAAGATTCCAAAAACCAGAATATTCTCCACTCACATTGACAGTGCTGTTTCCAGGTAAAATGAGGATTGGTGATGTGGGGCAGGCTGTTGATGACGGCCTCTGATCCCGCTCCCCAAGCTGGGCCAGAATAGGTAGATACTTGCAGGAAAGGATTATGTATAGTATTTCAAGTTTTTACCCAAGGCAATAGAACTTTTCTTCTTGAAACCAAATAAGCTGAAGGAGGGTGGAGGTCAATATTCTGGATATAAACCAAATAACTACGGCCCAAGTGGGTTCAAAGGACTTGAAACAATCCGTTTCATCTTTTGAGAACTGTGGTAAACAAGCACATTTCCTCCAGAGGAGCCAAAATAGCATGTGATCATTAACTCAAAACCGATCAGAGGCTGTGACTGTTAATTATCTTGACTGTCTAGTATGGCTAAAGAGGTCTGGGCAGTTGCCTGAGCAAACAGAAGATTTAAATCTGGATCCCAAGACAAGCAGATCTTTTGCTGGATCATTTGCGACTTAATACCCCGAGCCATGCCTGTGAAAGGCTCCTTACCCTTTGTCCCCCTGCACTCATGCATTCCTAGGCTTCCTTTGGTTGTCAGGGATGCCCATGGGGAGTGGGCACAGTGAGGCACAGCTTTTGGAATTTGGGCCAGAGTGTCTAGAGATGGGGAACAGACCAGAAGTACTGAATAAATAGTCTTCAGTGGTCCATGTTGGCAAAAGGGTAATCCTGTTTCCCTGGGGTTCTGATTAAGGGCTGGAGATGCCCAAGTAGTGCCATGTCAGAGTTGATTACATCCTTATGTTGAAGTGGGTATTGTGTTTAATTTGGGGGCCTCTGGTTCTCTCCAGCTCTCCAAGCCCACCCCCCTCTGTTCTGACCTCATTATTCTGGCAGAGTACACTCACACATTCTGGAGGGCTGGCTTATGAATTACAGAGGGGATACTACATTTTTTCCCACCTAGCCCAGGGGGCGGACTCACACATATGTCTTTGCTGTTTCCCTTTCTCTGACTTGCAGTTCGTCTGATGATTGAAAATCCCTATGAGACCCGTTCTGACAGCTTCTACTTTGTTGACAACAAGCTGATAATGCACAACAAGGCTGACTATGCCTATAATGGAGGCCAGTGACTGCTGCAGGAGTGGACGGGGAGGTGCTTTGCTGTGGCCCAAGGTCCTGGCACATGGAGGTGGTTGAACCTGCTGTTCGTCCACACACATCTGGAGCCTCGTCCCGGGAAGCCAAGGCTGGCGTGGTAGTTTCCTGTGCTCAAGAGAGGTGCCAAGCAGTGCTGTGTTTTCTTCCCCAGTATTTTTTCTTCCCTTTTCCCTGCCCCATAGGTCGCAGAGGTACTAGAGTAAAGTAAAGGATTAGGGTCAGGCTCCTGGAGTCCAGAGAAAAAAGAAAGTCTATTTTCCTGTTGTCCTAGCTCCCTGCTGGTTGTGCTGATGAGCCTGGGTCTCTGCAGGCACAGCTGCATTGGGGTGAGGAGGCTCTGGCCAGCCGGCTTGCAGTGGCTTCTCCGTAGCTTCCTGGGCACGGTGAGAAGCTGACAGCTAGGCCTCTTCTAGGCGATTCCTCCTCTCGCTTACAGTGTTGCTGTTGGCATAGTGTGACCTCAGCTTGTGTGTAGTTCTAAAGCAACTGGAAAGAAAGGGGGTGGTGGAAGGGTGCCAAGAGTGGGGGTGCAGGGGGCCGCTAGGGCTGCCAAACTGAAAGGTCCATGTTGTGGCGAGGCCTGCTTCTCTGTCTGACTTCCAGGATCTTCCACCAGCCCTCCTGGGGACACACCCAAGGTTTCAGCCTGGCAGTGCCTTCCTATTGCCATTTTGGAGGAAAGATGAGCTTGCTCCGCTTGTCCTCGCTCCTAACTTTTGAGTATCTCCTGAAATAGACTGTCAGTTTTGTGCTCTTGGAACAGTAGGATCTCTTGAGGCCACAGCAGGCCTTGTATTTTGTGTTGGTTTTTCTTTTTTTCCCCTTAGTCTTCCTTCGGGGAGGTTTTATAAGACTACCGTGGTGTTCCCAGCATATGTGGTGTGTGGTTAGACTTCTGATAGTATTAAACAGGCGCCTGGGGCTAATCTGGCTCATGTTGGGGCCCGGGATAGTTAACGGACCAGCAGCTACTTAAAGGAGGGATTTGATTTTCTCTACACAGGAGAGCCTGCAGGATTGGCTTATGATGTGGATTTGCCTCTGAAACTCTTTGTAGATTTCTTCTTTAGGAGGATTTTCCTGTCTGCCTTTCTCCTGAAATAATTTCTGGAACCATCCTGGCAGGTCAGACCTCAGTAATGCATATTCCGATCCTTCATACTGCTAGTTGGAATGTTTTTGGGTGTTTGGAAAAGATGAATGAAGTAGGCCGAGTTGGCTCTCAAAAGGTGTTCTCAGAAAACCTTCCCTGCACATCCTTGTGGGCTACTTTTGTCCTCAGGCCCTTCCTGGATAGCCTCAGCTCCTCCTGGTTGTCTGACTGGGGTGGCTGACCTTCTGATAAGATTGTTGCTGTGGCCAGGGTTTAGCATTGATAGGAAGGTAGCAGGAGGAAGAGCCTGGGCATGAGGGAATAGTCACTGTGAAGCATCATAGTAGCTGGAGAGCAGTCTCCCAAGATGCTTGGGACAAAGACCACACGGGGCCCAGGATAGAAGGGCCAGCACTTTGCCACAGAAGTCTCCTGTGCGTTCGCTAACCAGTGTTGCTCCCTCTTTGGATTCTAGAGTGTGAGTGGCCTTGAACCTTGGCTCAGTGCTCTGTGCCAGGCCAGAGTCTGGGCTGTGCCAGATGCTGGCAGCTTTCTCACTGAGAAAACCCTTACTCCTGTGTGCTGGCACTGGATCCAACCACTGAGGGAGGGAAGAGACCAGGCACCCTGCACATGGGTTACTCATCACCAGACCGGGTGAATCTCAGAACTGGAGTCGACCACAAATCCAGGTGCCTTAAGTGTGGCTCTGTCCCACGTGCTGCTGGGAAAAGCTGCATTGCCCTCCTTCCCTCCTCATCTGTGGACAGACATCAGTACTGCCTCCTTGCCTGGTTTCTCCTTGTGGCTTCTCTAGCATATTCGTGTGTGCATACTGAGCTTCAGAATCACCCCTTCTCTATGGGACAGTAGCCTAATCGGGAGATTTTCTACTATTTGTTATTTAATTATTATCTAGAATGTGGTTTCTGGAGCTGTCCAGAGCTCTGCTCAATAGAGTGTCTTGGAAATGTGTCCCAGGGCAGACCACGTCGTGTGGACTAGTGGGCTGTCTCTTCTCTGCAGTGTTAGCCTTTGCTGGGGGAGGGCGGGGGGCTAGGCGTGCTGGCTTGAGTCGTGCTTTGTCCTCCTCCCCATTAGCTTGCCTTAGTCTCACCAGACCATCTGGAGGCCGTGGGCTCCGTCTGTGCCCAGGAGCACAGGGGTATACCATCTGCTCCTGACGGTCTGTCTGGTGTTCTGTACCTGGGAGTCTGGATTCTTGTGTCTCACTACTCAGGAAATCTGGAGAAGCATCACCACTCGAGGGGGTGAACCAGAGTGAGTTTGGAATTCACGCTTTTGTACCTGACCTGGGGAAAGAATTGGAAGTCCTCCTTTCTCTGAAAGTAGCTGAAGCCGTCAAAAGTTGAATCGGGAGGCCATGTTAGTAAGGAATCGGGGCTGGTGATAGCAGTTGTCTTGGGGGTGCTGCTGGGGGAGGGGAGAAGTGACCTGCACGGGGACACCCTGCCTCCTGTTCAGAGCTGGCATCTGGGCGGCAGCTCCTGGAGGGACTCCTTCCAGCAGCCTGGCAGGCGCACCCGGCGCCGCGGGGGCCGGATGCCTGCTCCTATCCCTCTGCCTTGGAATCTCCAGGAAGAGCATCTCTCTTTTCCTGTGGAGCCTTTGGGCTATGATGCCCTTCTTGCTTCTCCAAAGAAGATCCCTGTTGATTTCATTTTGTTCTAAAGAGCAAACAGAAGAAATAACCAATAAAAGTAGTTGTGGGCTAAAGTAGGCCGCCCTGTCCTTATGTGTTTGCTCAGCGATCCTTTGCGGAGAAGGCAGTTTTCAGGGGCCTGCAGAACTCCCGGAAGACACGTCCAGCCATTGGGCCATCTGATTCTCCAGCAGGGGCAGCGGTTTAGGGAAGATGGGGCTCACTGTAGACTGGTGATTCTTGAAATGGCAGTGACAGGTAATCGTCGACCTATTTTTCCAGTTGAAGTGGAATTCATTTCTGGGATGGATTTAATAGGTTGTGTGTAATGGACAAGTTGGGGGAGTCTTGCCTTAGTGTGTCCTGCCACCCCCAGTAGGCTCCCAGGGTACTCTTTTTTTTTTTTTCCCTCTGTCAAGTCACTTTCTTTTGGTGGCTCTTGTCACCACGATGGCAGTGAGATTTGGGGACTGGAGACAGTGTCCCCAGAACCACAGCATAGATTCCTTGCCAGGGCCCGAGGATTCCTGATGCAGAGGTGCTGCTGTACCTGCTGTAAGCGCCTGATCGTCGACTCATTTCCTCACATTCCATGTTACAGAACATCTTCGCCACAAGAAGGGTCTGGTGGAGGCGGATTTACCCCTTGTTTTACAAAGGATCATGTAAAGTCATTGAAGTTGTGAAAGTCTATTTTTTCCCCTGTAAATCTATTTTTCACAGAATATAAGAAACATCAATGACCTGATCTGTCCTTCCTCCTCTTTCCCCTTCACCTAAGATCCTCATTCCAGTTTGTATTGTCTTTGTGTTCAAAGTAAACTAGGTGACTTATTTGTACAAAATGTTATTTTGCCACAAGAGACAGTAATAAAAGATTTTCACAGTATGTGCGTCCTCTCTTGTCCCCTGACGGGCCCTGTGGGTTGCTGGGGGGGAGCAGGTTTGGGGTGGCGGTGGGCTCCAAGTTTCTTTAAATGACCTTCCTGTAAGTAAGGAGTGTTGCTGGTTTTTAGGGTGATCAGGGAACAGTATTGGGCTCTAGGTTTAATATTTTTGCTTTGTTTTGCTGGGGGGCTTTGTGAATTAAAAATGTATGTAGTATTTTAATGTTAGGGTTATTGAGGTACGCATTAACTGCGGTAGAATTCACCTGGTTTAAGATACAGCTGGACGAGCATGCAGCCTTATTACCCCATCACAATCATGATACAGGGCTGTTGCATCACCCCCCAAAGTTCCCTCAAAGTCGAGTTCCCTTGAAACCATTGTCTGGTTTCTGTGTTTACTGGGAAATTGGTGTACTTTTAATATAAAACTAACATCGTTGTTTAAGGTAACAAACGATACAATTTTGAAGTAAGTCTGGCTTGGGTGGTCTGTGGCAGCCAAAGCAGTCATTGGCCCGTGTCCACTCACTGATTTCCCCCTCTCCTGCTTCTTCCTTTCTTCTTTCACCCAGGACTGGCACCAGGTGGGGCAGTGGAAAGGTAAGGAAGGCCTCAGAGCATTAGCCGACCACAGTCATTGGTTCGGGTCTAAAGTACTGTGGATTTAGAGGCTTTCTCTTAAATGAGAGGTAACATGTTAAGGACTTTGCTGCATCTTTTCATTGATCTCGGGGAGGGAGAGCAAGGTCTTGGTGGAAGACAAATTTTGGCATGCGTGTCAGTGCTGGTGCTGGTGCCCGGCTGAGTTACAGAGGCGTAAAGACGGACAGAGGGATGTGTGGGTGCCCGGGAGGGTGTGGAAGTCTGACTCATGCTTGTGCTGAAGGAAGACCCTTGTCGGGGCACTGGAGTCGCCAGTTTCCTGGGGAGGGTCAAGGCGTCTCGATGAGGATGCCAAGGACCAAATGCATGGCATTGGGGGCAGTGCCCGCTGCTCGCAAATGGGCTCTGCCCCACGACTGGGGGTGAGACAGATGGGACTGCAGTGGAATAAGGGGGTGACAGCTCCACCCCACCTGCACACCTTCTGGAGGAGAGATCCCCCTCCCAGGCAGCCCAATTCCCTGGGGCTGCATACTGAGCATCAGGGCAAGACAAGATCCTTGTGCCTCTCGGAGCTCACAGACTAGAGGGAGGAGTCGAGATGTCAGACGCTGAGTGCCAGGAATAAATAAAACAGACGCTGGGAAGGAGAATGTGTGGTCAGGGCAGGCCTCAGTGAGAGTGAGACCTGAATGGAGGGAAGGAGCCTTCCGGGTGGAGGAACAGGGATTGCGAAGTCGAAGTCGCGGAGGCAGGAACAGCCGGGGTATGGGAGCTGCCTTGTGCGGCTGGAGCAGAGACAGCGAGGGCACTGTGGCCACGGGGCGGAAGAGAGCGTTCAGCGCTGCGGGGAGGGAGGCGGGGCCGGGGCCTGCCCCCCGGGGCGAAGGGGCGTGTCGGCCCGCCCTGGCCCCGCCCCTCGCGGCCCGGAACCGGTGCGCTCCCGCGGGAGGTCGGCGAGCAGAAGCCCCGCGCCGCGTCCGCGTCCGCGTCCGCGTCCATGGCCGCCGCGCTGCTCGCCCGGGCCTGCGGCCTCAGCCGCGGAGGTGAGTGCGCCACGGATCTGCACAGCGGGGCGGCGGCCGCCCGGGCCGGCCGAGCGGGCTCGAGTCCCGTTGGCCGGACTGCACCCTCTCCCGGAGCGCGCGCGGCCTTTGCCCCACTTGGGTCGCTGCTGGCGCCTGCGCGGCCTCGGCTCCCGCTCCGACCCGCGCCCGCCGCCCCGCTCTCGCCGTGGCATCCACACCGTCCCCCCCACCCCCTGCTCAGTTCCTCGCCCGCGGAGGCCCAGGGGCGCCCGTCCTCCCTAGCCAGGCCTGGGTCTGAACCCAGACTCTGCGTCTGTGACCTTGGGCGAGACGCTCGGTCCGTCCGCCGCATTTGGCGCGGGTGTAAAATGGTCCCAGCGATGTGTCCCTGTTCTCGTGGAGTTGTTACAAGGATGAGATCGCGCACGCAGGCTGGGTAAAACACTCAGCACAGCGCCTGTTAGATGGCTCTCAGTAACTGTTTGGGCTTGTTGATTATTTCCTGCCTCACCTTTCCCAGCTTATTTCTCTCATGTGGCCAGGGCTTCCTTTGCCTGCAGGACAACTGTAAGGGGACCCCTGTGGAGGGCTGTGTCTGCCAGGCCCTGTGCTGGTGCTGCAGTCAGCATCTCTTTCACCCTCCCACCCCCAGGAGTTCAATACTGCTGGCCACCAGGTTTTCTAGGCCCGGAGGCTCAGTGAAATTAAGATCCTTGCCTAAGGTGGCAAAGCTGTGGTCTTAGTACCATTGGTGTTGTCCTGAAGATCGACTGGGATAGTTGTGTAGCAAGTGGAGGAAGCATTCAGTTGGTGTGGGTTTCTCAACAGCTTGCTATTGACATTTTGGGTCGATAATTCTTTGTTGTGCGGTCTGTCCTGTACCTTGTAGGGTGTTAGGCAGTATCCCTGGCCTCTACCCACTCCAGAGTAATAGCATTCCACCCTACAACTACCAGAAATGTTTCCAGACGTTGCCAGATATCTTCCGGGGGGCAAAATCATCCCTGGGGGAGGCCCACTGAGTCACTGGATGGCCACTACGATGATGGTAATGCAGCAGGACCTCCTGCATTCCCCTCCCACTACTACCTGTTCTTGCTTGCAGCTCTGCGTCCTTGGGCCTGGCGTCGGTTACATACTATCTACCAGTCTGTGGAGCTGCCAGAGACACACCGGATGCTGCGCCAGACGTGCCGGGAATTTGCCGAGAAGGAGTTGGTTCCCATTGCAGCCCAGCTGGACAAGGAACATCGCTTCCCAGCGGCCCAGGTGAGAGTTCCAACCTCAGCAGCTCCCAGTGGTGGTCTGCCAGCCACTGCGGGACTGGCGGTGACAGGGACAGCCAAGGGCACTGAGACTCCAAGCCAGGAATCCTAAGGTGGGTCCTGGAACCCAGAAGATGCTCTGGAGGTTTCCTTCATCCAGTATGAGGCCTGTTGCCCGGATTTAACTTCCGCAATAACAGTCATAATGGTGGGTGGGCATCGCGCTTACCGTGGGCCAGGCATTGTGCTGCTAGCTACGGTTAGCGCTTGCAGGATGCCCACCGGGGGCTAGGCCCGGTTCTAGGGCCCTTGAGGTGTGCCAGCCCATCTGCATCTCACAATCAGCCTGTGAGGTGAGGGTCCAAGTATTACATACCCTGCTGGATAGTTGGTGAACTCACATGGACTGGGGGCGGGGGGGGTTGTTAAATATTGTGCCCCAGGTCAGGGAGCTAATGAGATGCCGAGCGAGGGCTGAGGCCCAGCTCTTCTGCCCGACCCTTAGACCCCAGGGAGCATGCTCCTTCCCGTGCCTCTGTGTGTTTCCCTTGCAGTCAGCTCCTCTGTCATTTCCTGGGTAAGATGTTTCTGCTGGATCCCCGGGGCCTGGCGAGCGCTGTGGCACACGGCATAAATATCCAACAAATATTTGTTCAGTAAAGTTTGTGGAGTTGTAAATCTTTCTGGCCTCTTGTCCTGGCCTGTTTGTCACTCTAAGGAGTTCCAGAGTTTTCTGATTGCCATTTCATGTCCCCTGGGCTCTGGGGCCACTTTTCCAGCTTAGAAAATACCGTGCTGCTCACAGCATCTTGGGCACCATACCCGGACTGTGGCGACACACGGGGAGCTCCGAGTGGGGTGGGCAGATGGCAGTCTGGGCACTGACACTGGTTGGGTAACTTTGGGTAACTTCTGGGTCATCCCGGCTAGGTCTGAGGACATCCTCACCTGCAAATCTGATCCCTATTTGGCTTCTAGAATGCTTGCCAGGATTAAGTGAGCCAACACATGTCGAATTCTGGTGCCTCCTGGTCCTGGGGCGTGGGAACTGGCAACACTATGATCATTTTTATTACAGTTGAGAAATTTGAGGCAGAGGGGTTAAGTGATTTTCCACGGCTACCAATCTGTGCGCTAGAATTCACATCCCAAGCCTGGCTGGCTCCAGGACCTCCTTCTCCATCCAGTTTCCCCGAGGTTGGCCCAGAAGCCCAGCTGACGGGCAGGGAAGGCCTGTTCTAGTTGGGAATATTCCCGTCAAGGGCCTAAACTACCCTTCTGCCCTCCGCTCTGTGACCCCACCCGGCACGTTCCCTTCATCGTTCAGTGCCATTAATGGAGATGTGACCAAACTCCAGCTCTCTGTGAGCAGAGGATGGGAACAAGCCAAGAGGAGTTTCAAGACGTTGCTCCCAGAGCAGTTGCCTGAGACATGGCTATGTGTTGGGGCTTTTCCTACCAAAAGACAGACAGCTTGATTTACTTTTCCTCTGCTATTCCTATGTTCCCTCAAATTCTTTTTTTTTTTAAACATTTTATGACTCATCCTTTATTTATTTTTTTAAGATTTTATTTATTTGACAGAAAGAGCACAAGCAGAGGGAGCAGCACGCAGAGGCAGAGGAAGAAGCAGGCTTCCCGCCGAGCAGGGAGCCTGATGCGGGACTCGATCCCCGGACCCTGGGATCATGACCCGAGCCGAAGGCAGACGCTTAACCAACTGAGCCACCCAGGCATCCCTGTTCCCTCAAATTCTTACTAAGATGACAGGCCTAGATTTGCTCTGGGCAAGAAAGCTGGCAGTAGAAACAGATTTTTTTTCCCCCCAAGCTCCTCTGAACTAGTCCTCTGGCTTTATCCTCTCCTCCTTGCTTCCTGGGACTGGGGAGTTTGCAAGCTACCCCTCGGAGCAGTGACAGACACAGGTGTGGAGGCAGGAGGCCATGGCGTCAGCCTCCCTCCCGCTGGAAGCCAGGAGAGCTCATCAGGCCTCGCCCAGGGCACAGCCGTAGCTCCGAGTCGTGATGGCGTCTGTCTTTGGGTCTGTGTCGGTCTAGGTGTTTTCGTGTCGCTGATCACGCATCCGGCTTGTACTTTCCCCTTGTCGGAGATGACGAAGGAGCAGCTGTTTGAATGGCTGGGGTTGTAGAGCTAGGGAGGAGCTGTGCCTCATCTTCTGATCTTGCCACCACCCCTCCCGCGCCCCGGACTCTTCTCTTGGCAGCTGATGGGATGCGGAGGTTAATCCGTGTTTGCTTCCCTTCGTGGCAGATGGAAGCCTGCTGGGTTTGTGCTTCTATCCCCGGCTCTGTTACTCTGGTTGGCACTCAGCTCCCAGGTACCGAAGGGAGTCCAGGGCTTACGTGGGCAGAGGGATCAGAGAACTAGACCCACAGATAATATGGCAGGTTGCCTAAATCAAAAGAATAATACCACTGAACGTTTCCCAATAAAACGGTGATAAGAACAGGAATAGCTGTCATTTGGGGGTTACTGTATTCCAGGTGCTTACGCATTATGCCTTCAGCACAACACTCTGGGGAAGTTACTCAAAGTGTCTTCGGTGTTTAGATGAAGAAACTGAAGGCAGAGGTTAGGTTTCTTGCCTAACAGCCCCACAGGTAGGATGGAAGGAGCCAGATACAGACCCCTGAGCGCCTGCCTGGCCTATAGTAGGTGCTTAGTTAGTGATTTCTAATATTTTTTCCTGAAGAATTTTTTGTCCACCCGGTTCCCCGAGAAAAAGTGGGTTCATGGGGGAAGATTCAAGGGGAGAAGAATTGAGGGAGGCCAAGAATTAGGTGGAAGGCCAGTGCCAATTTCTGCTTGCTTGGCTGGTTTGGGAACCTAAACTGAGCTTCAGTTTTCCTGTATTCAAGCCAAAAAAAAAAAAAAAAAAAGAAGAAGAAAGGAAACAAAGGAAAATTTACAATGTTACTTTGTTATAAAGGGAAATAAGAAATAAAATGGTGTTTTAACTGATTTTGGACTCACCAGCCTTCCAGCACGTGGGGGCTGTATATCTATTGTATAAAACTGAGCCCCGTGCCTGGCGGGCTCGGTTAGTAGAGCGTGCGACTCTTGATCTCAGGGTCATGAGTTTGAGCCCCATGTTGGGGTGTGGAGCCTACTTTAAAAACGAAACAAAACAAAAAAACCAAGCCCCGTTTCTTCTCCTTCACTTGGTGACTGTTTATTGAATAACTTTACTAGAGCAGGTGCAAGACCTGCTCTTCCTTGTCGTGCTCTGTCTCCGGTGATGGTGCTTCCCTGACCCAGTTAGCCACATAGAAACCCCTAGAACCGTACCCCATTGTCTTCTTCCTCCTACCCACTGAGTCCTGTTAATTCCACCCTGGAAGTGTGTCCCGAATGCCACCTCCCCTCTGTCCCAAGCGCATTCATCCATCTGTGTCCCGGGAGCATCCTGTTCCTCACGGCGACTCTGTGGTTGGCCTCAGCGCGGTGCTTTGTGCTGTCTCGGGCGGTCGGCTTCCTGCTCACGCCCGCACGTCCCTGTCCACATGACACTGTGCTCTTGGGAAGAGCCCGACAGTCCACAGCGAGGTTGCTGACCGAACGGGGAGGCGAGGTGACGCTGCGTGGCCGTTCTGGCCCAGCACGTAGCACCCGCCGGCCACCAGTGGACACTCGAGGCGGCGGCGAACAGGGCTTCTCTCCCTTGAATAAGCAGCAGATCTCCGGCAAGCGAGGAGATCGGATCGTTTGAAGGGAGTCAGTTTTGACTGTGTTGAGCTCATGCAAACTCAGGATACGTTTGATTCTGTGAAGGCGTACGGTGGTGTGTCTCTAGGAAGTGCCCACTCAACGTTCCCCAACGGGAAGGACACACATGGTCTTCCTGTTTCTGCTGCTTTGCATCTTGTCCCCGGTCTCTCTCTCTTTTCCGTGCTGTCAACTCTTCCCTGCGCTGCCAGGCTGGCTCTCTCCCCCGCCGCCGGTCTGTTTGCCTGGACACACTTTGGCGCGTGTACACCACCAGCATTGTTCTGTCTCTGTGTTCTCCCTAGAACGTTCCTGTGAGCCGGCTGTAGCATCATGCCAGGGATCTGGTGACCTGTTTTCTTTTCTTTTCTTTTTAAGGATTTATTTATTTATTTGTCAGAGAGAGAGAGAGCACAAGCGGGGGGAGCAGCAGAGGCAGAGGGAGAAGCAGGCTCCCCGCTGAGCAGGGAGCCCGATGCGGGGCTCGATCCCAGGACTCTGGGATCATGACCTGAGCCGAAGGCAGATGCTTCACCGACTGAGCCCCCCAGGCACCCCTGGGCTTTCTGAGTAGAAAGGTTGGGAAAAGCAGAGCCAGGCATCACTGATGAAATTGGGTGAGCCGGATTGCGTCCAGGCTCTGGGTCCAGTGTGGGCGAGCTCCTGCCCTTGAGCAAGCTGGAGCTGGAGGCTTTTCAAGCAAACCCTGGTGGCAAGTAGCGGGGGCGGAGCGGACCTGGGTGAGACTTGAGGAGAGTGACTGGTTGGGGTGCAGTGAGCTCCCGCAGCGAGAACGAGAACCGTCAGGAGAGCTGGTGGGGGGTGCAGTCAAGGGGAGAGGGCCCCTGAGCTCTGGCTTCTTTGTGGCCTGGACGTGGCTTGACGTCTTGTGTCCTGGAGGGGTTGCCTCTCTGTGGGAGCTCCCCCCCACCTGCAGAAGGAAGACAGATCATCCTCACTCTGCCCACACCCCACCTGGGGATTTCGGTTCCCTTTTTGTTTCTTGGGGTGAAGTGGAGTTGCGGGGTGTGGGACGACTCCGTCCTTCATTCCAGGGATGTACCCTGAGGGCTGTGGGATGAAGAGGAGGTTGGGTGGCACCTGTAGCTGGGACAGTTTTGCCAGGAGGCCAGAGAGAGCCTTCCAGCAAGACACCTGCCGAGGCCTGTGCGTGCATCCCAGAGGCCCGTGTGCTTCCAGCCCCTGGTGAGTGTGGCCCAGGCTCCCGACCCCGCACCGCCTTCCCCAGCACAAGGCCGCGTTCCCCCTGGCGTGGGTTTGTTGGCTGCCTTGAAGGTTGAGTCTGACAGTTTTCTGTTTTGTTTTTTTTTATAAATTTTTTTTTTTATTAAAGATTTTATTTATTTATTCATGAGAGACAGAGAGAGCGAGAGGGAGGCAGAGGGAGAAGCAGGCTCCCAAGGAGCAGGGAGCCCGATGCGGGACTCGATCCCAGGACCCTGGGATCATGACCTGAGCTGAAGGCAGATGCTTAACCATCTGAGCCACCCAGGCGCCCCTGACAGTTTCTGTTTTGAGGCCACGCTCGTGCCGGCACTGGGCCCTGTGAGCCCCCACGTGGAATGAGGTACGGTGCTGTGTCGACCACCCTACGTTCAACTCCCCTGCCCGCTGCTGTGCTGCAGTGTCTCCGAGCAGGCCCAGCCCCTCCCGCTGCAGCTGTGTGGTCACCACAGAATGTTTGTCTTTTTAGAGACTCTTAAAGTGACACATCTGGGGTACCTCTGAGAACCCCCCCTTTTTTTAAGAGAGAGCGCGAGCAGTAGGGACAGGTAGCGGGGGCCAGGTTGTGGGCGGGGGAGAGTCTTAAGCAGGCTCCGTGCCCAGCACGGGGGCCCAACCCGGGGCTCGATCCCGTGACCCTGAGATCATGACCTGAGCTGAAATGAAGAGTTCGACGCTTTAACTGAGTCAGTCACCCAGGCTCAGAAACTGTCAGTTTCCTCTTGTGCTGTTGTGACAAATGACCACACACTAGAGACTAGCGGCTTATTATCCGACAGTTCCTGGAGGTTGGAAATCCAAAGTGGGTCTCGCTGGGCCGAAATCAGCATGCTGGTGGTCCTGGAGAAGGGTCCATGTCTTGCCCCTTCCGGCATGTAGAGGCCGCCTGCACTACCCGCCCGTGACCCCCTTCCGGCCGGCACGCGGGTCCCTCGGACGCCTGCTTCCATTGTCACCTCTCATTCTCCTTGTTCCCTCCTCACCTTGTACGGACCCTTGAGACGCCACTGGGTCCCCCTGGATAATCCGCGATCCTTAACTGCATCTCCCCCGCAGAGGCACCCGCGTCTGCCCTCTTGTGGCCGCAGGGTGCCATCAGCACTGTGGGCTCGGTAGGTCAGTGCCACCCCGGGGACAAGCAGTGTCTGTCCCCCCCACCCCGGGTGTTTTCGGGAGACACTGAGGGGGAGGTAAGGTCACCCCAAGCGTGGAGGCTTGTAGGAGGGTTTCCCATGGGAACAGTTCAAGGCAGAGTCTGCTAAGAATTTCACAGAGGGGCACGTAAGTCAGGATGGGAGTGCTTCTCATCCCGTTCACCCTCCTCCTGGTGACCACTCGTCAGCCACTTCGTGATGGGAGGCGCGTTCACCGATCACCCCACTTGCGCCGGGCGCTGGGCTCCGCACTTTATATGCATTTTCTCAGTCCTTCAACAGTCCCGTGACGCAGGTGCTATTTGCAGAGGGGGTGCAACATTGATAATCACGGAAGTAATATTAATTATAGAAAAATGAGAAAATATTGTGAAAATTCTTATGTTTGCTTTTCTTTTTAAGTCCAAATAGTGTAAGAACGTGGTTCCAGGAATCAAATGACACCGAGGGGCTCTTGGAAGCAGCGCTGCCCTTCTCCCCGTGCCCCCTGCCCCTCCCCATGGGCAGTTGGTTTTAGTTGCTTCCTTTCGAAGCTCAGTAGGTTCTGTGTGGCCCGTGTCGGTCCCCCAGAATGCAGGCTCACCTGTCCCAGGTCGGAGGGGTGGAGCTGGGCGCTGTGCTGAGCTGGTTGTGACCCTGGAGTCACTGGGGTGCGGTCCGGCCGCATTATTCACGAGCTCTGGCCCCGAGCAGGTTGCTCCATGTGTCTGAGGTCTGGAGAGACTCAGATGTGGAGTTTGGCTCACAGTAGGCACTTGCTGGTTGACGGTTACTGTTAGTGTTGTTCCAAATCAGAAACTCCAAGCTCTTAGCATTCATTCACTCATTCATGGGCACTGCGAATATCGCAGTGACCAAAAACCAGTCTTGGCCCTCATGGTCAGGGAGAAGGATCTTTTTTTTTTTTTTTAAAGATTTTATTTATTTATTTGACAGAGAGAGACACAGCAAGAGAGGGAACACAAGCAGGGGGAGTAGGAGAGGGAGAAGCAGGCTTCCCGCGGAGCATGGAACCCGATGTGGGGCTTGATCCCAGGACCCTGGGATCATGACCTGAGCCGAAGGCAGACGCTTAACAACTGAGCCACCCAGGCGCCCCAGGGAGAAGGATCTTAACCCAAACCAGCAGAGTAATAGGTGTGAACTTCCAGCTGCATAAGCCCCGCATTGGAAGGGCACAGGTTCTGGGAGAGCTGCAAGAAGTGAGGCTTGAGCTGAGATCTGGAGGGAAGGAGACCACAACAACTAGTTGATATAGGGCATTACTGACAGAAACGGCACGTGCGAAGGCCCTGTGGTGGGGAGACAGGGGTATGTGTGTAGAGCTGAGAGAAGGTTGGTATGGCATTGTGCTGTCCTGCTTCTTACCCTGGGGGCCTCTGAAGTTTTCCTGTGCCTTCTGCCTGCTTGCTGGCTGTGGCTGCGGACACAGAGGTGAGCTAGTGTGGAGCGTGGGGGCAGAACAGCTTGGATGCACGGTGTTGTCATGCAGACCTGAGCTGAGGCTGGGTCTTCAGCGTCTGGCCTTGGGCATCAGGGGGTGGGTGGATGGGACCACATGGCCTGAGTTTGCACAGGCACTGGCTCAGGAGCAGGAGGGTTTGGAGTTGGGAGGGGTGGGCACGGGCCCCCAGCTGCCCTTGCCCTGACATCCTTCCTTGTGGCCAGGTGAAGAAGATGGGCGAGCTCGGGCTTCTGGCCATGGATGTGCCTGAGGAGTTCAGCGGCGCCGGCCTCGATTACCTGGCCTATGCCATTGCCATGGAGGAGATCAGCCGGGGCTGTGCCTCGACAGGAGTCATCATGAGTGTCAACAACGTGAGTCCCCACTCCTGGGACACACAGGTGGAAGGGAGGCTCCCGTGGGCAGGTGGGCACTCTGGCCACATGTCCTGGTGTCCCGGGCACGGCCAGGCTTTGGCACCCAGCCCCCAACCTCCTCTGGGCTCAGTTCTTTCAGGTCAGGTCTTGGAGCGGGGTCCACATGTCCCCTCTGACCACCCATCCACCCCTTCTGCCCACCCCCACAGTCCCTCTACTTGGGGCCTATCCTGAAGTTTGGCTCCAAGGCGCAGAAGCAACAGTGGATCACCCCTTTTACTGGTGGTGACAGAATTGGCTGCTTTGCGCTCAGTGAACCAGGTACCATGGTGGGACCGGGGTTGGCCCCCGTGCCTTGTGCAGGATCACAGTGACAGACTCGGGTTGGAGCTGGGCTGCCGCTGGGGCTGAGGCAGGAGCAGGGCTATGAGACACAAGGGCACAGGCCTTCGGTGTGGGTGGGGGGTGCTGAGCTCTGGCCGCCTGGCTCTGGGGTCCCTTGGGCGTGAAGTTGCCCTGCTCTGCCCCCCCCTCCCCCCCGCCCTGGGCCCTCTTGGACTAGTCTCTGAGAGCTCTCTGGTTGCTGGTGTGGCCCGGGAGCTTCCTCTTGCGAGCCAAAACCCTGATTCTTTGTGCTGGAGCTGGGGGCCAGGCTGGGTCCCCTGCTCACTGGTGGCAACAGTGGATTCTGAATCTGTGTGGGGGGCAGGGAATGGCAGCGACGCGGGAGCCGCCTCCACCACTGCCCGAGCAGAGGGGGACTCGTGGGTCCTGAACGGCACCAAGGCCTGGATCACCAATGCCTGGGAGGCCTCCGCCGCCGTCGTCTTCGCCAGCACAGACAGATCCTTGCAGAACAAGGTCGGGACCCCAGGGAGAGGATCGGGGAGACCTCTGGGCTGCAGATGTTCCGTAGCTTCTCGATGCGAATTCCCTGTGGCTCAGTGGAGGTGTCCCTGCTCTCACACCCCTTGGGGCGGCCCCTTTGCTTCCCTGGCCTGCTGGTGGCCTGAGGCCCGAGTCTGCACCTTCCCCCGTGCAGCCAGCAGAGGGCGCCCTGGCTGAGGTCTGAGGGAGGTGGTGGGAAGGGGCCGGTTTGCTTCTGGTGCCCTTGAGTAAGGGGTGTGGCCGGGCCAGTCTCTGAGAACATCACTGCCTGTGTCTGGGCCTTGCAGGGCATCAGTGCCTTCCTGGTTCCCATGCCGACGCCTGGGCTCACGCTGGGGAAGAAGGAAGACAAGCTGGGCATCCGGGCCTCATCCACGGCCAACCTCATCTTTGAGGACTGTCGTATCCCCAAGGACAGCTTGCTGGGGGAGCTGGGGATGGGCTTCAAGATAGCCATGGTGAGCCTGGCAGTGGGGCCGGGGCCCTGGGGCCCAGCTGGCCAGCCACTGACCGGGGCCTTCCCCACAGCAAACCCTGGACATGGGGCGCATTGGCGTCGCCTCCCAGGCCCTGGGCATCTCCCAGGCCGCCCTCGATTGTGCTGTGAACTACGCTGAGAATCGCAGGGCCTTTGGGGCGCCCCTCACCAAGCTCCAGAGCATCCAGGTAACAGGGGAGCCTAGCCCGGATGCTGGAGGGAGGGCAGCTAGGCCTTTTTTCTCTGGCTCCTGGGTTCTCCCCCCACCCAGTCCTTGGAGGGAGGGGCGGCTACTGACTGCTGCGGGGTGGGGGTGGGGGGGCTGGGTTGTTGCAGTTCAAGTTGGCGGACATGGCCCTGGCCCTGGAGAGCGCCCGGCTGCTGACCTGGCGTGCTGCCATGCTGAAGGATAATAAGAAGCCTTTCACCAAGGTGCCTGTGGGGAAGGGGTCTCCCCAGGCATGGCCCAGAGCTTTGGTGTGTGGAGCGAGAAGTCTGGGTGGGGTTCCAGTTCCTGGGGCCTGTGGGTTTATTGCCGCAGGGGGAGGCTCCCCAGGACCAGCCCCACTGAAGCGCCATGTGCCGGTGGCTCCCCCTGGAAGTCAGGTTTCTGACCCCACCGTCCCCTGTGCTTAGGAAGCGGCAATGGCCAAGCTGGCCGCGTCGGAAGCTGCCACTGCCATCACCCACCAGGTGAGTGTCCCTGTGCGGGCGGGGGGTGGACCAGCGTCCCTGACCCTGCTGGTCCCCCAGTGTGGCCGATCCTGCCCCTGACGCGGCCTTTTCCCTCCTGATGGGCCGCTTTCCCCGGTAGGCCATCCAGATCCTGGGAGGCATGGGCTACGTGACAGAGATGCCGGCCGAGCGCCACTACCGCGATGCACGCATCACCGAGATCTATGAAGGCACCAGCGAGATCCAGAGGCTGGTGATCGCCGGGCAACTGCTCAAGAGCTACCGGAGCTGAGCCGTGATGCAGGGCCGAGGAGCGCCCTGTCGGGTGCCAGGCTGGCCTGAGGACCACGGGAAAGGGGTGCAGGAGCCGTGAGGCCTTAACCCTGACGCCTGGTCTGGGACCCTGGGGGGTGGACAGCTGGGGGCCATGCCTCTTCTTGCCAGGACCACCCGGCCCCAGCCCTCTGCTGTGGACTCACCTGCCGCGCCCACCTCCACCCACCACAGACCCAACTGCCTCGGGTAAGTCTGGGAGAAAGGAAAGGTGAGGGGCGATGACCTGCGTTGGAGGGACCCCCCCCCCCCGCCGTCTTCAGCTCCGTTTTTTGACTTTGCGTCCTCTTCACACCTGTGCCTTGTTCTCTTCATGGAAATGGACCTGGCCTCCTGGAGACGGGGCCTTGGGAAGGGCTGACTTACCACTTTGGGACCCCCGTTTCCTTTCTCAGGAGACCCAGGCGGGACAGGCTCTTGGATGCGCCTGCTCTTTTCCCTGAGGTCAGGGGTCAGGAGTGGGGGCCTGTGGTGGGGGCCAGAACGACCGGTGGTCTCGGGAAGGCGGGCTGGCTCCTCGGGAAGCACCTGGAACCCCGAATAGCCGGTTCTTCGTAAATTATAAATGCGTGGGAAGGGGTCTGAATCATTCTTGAGGACAATGGATTGTGGAAACGAAGTAATAAAGCATACCTGTGCCCTGGTCCTCGTGTCCTTGCCTGAGCGCTGCTGGGGAGGGGACAGCTGCCACCTGTGTGTGCGTGAGGCTGCGAGTGTGAGTGTGCGCGGGTGTGAGGCTGACTGCAGGGGCATCGGTCTCGAGGGAGAGCTCCAGCACGAGGCAGGGTTGACCTGCTCCAGGAGGGTACAGAGCTGGGTCCCCAGGCCAGGGTGAGGGTCTAGGACAGTGACTGCTGCGCACGGAGGGCGGGTCGGGGCCCCTGGGCCAGAGGGTGCTGTCCAGGTGGCTCCGTAGGGTGGGTCGATCCCCTGAGCAGGAAGGAGGAAGGGAGGGTGCGTCACAGGTGGGGAGGGGGACGGGGAAAAGCGGTACAGGCCTGCAAGCCCGAATGCGGAACGGTGGACATGGGGCCGCCACAGCATCCTCCGCTGGTGACAGGGGTCTGGTGCCCCTGGAGCTGGAGCCCAGCTTTTAACGGCAGGCACCCAATGCGGCGAGGCAGCGGGAAGAGAAACCGGGCAAGGATTTCAAGGGAGCGGGGGTCAGCCCTCCGCAGGGCGGGGAAGCGGGCCTGTCGTCGCGGTGAGGTCTCTGCAGGGAAGTGGGGACGGAGACGTGACCCATTTGGAGGCCCCATCACGTGGGCGCCGAACAGCCTCGACGCCCTTGGCGGAGGAAGCCGCGGGAGCCTCGCGCCTCCCCTGGGGCGCTGCCCTTGACCCCGGCCCTGGCTCCTACGCCAGGGGCTCGCTGCGTGCGCGGCGCGGCGGGGGGCGTGGGGGTGGGGTCTCCCTGCGCCGCGGGGCGGGGCCCACGGGCGGCGGGGCCCGAGCAGCGGGTACGGCGTCCCGCCAACAAGGCGCACCCGCGGCCGCTCGCCGCTTCCCCGCGCGCTCTCCGGATCAGGCCGGCCCGCGGACCTCCGGGTGATCTGCGCCCCCTCCTGCACCAGGTGAGAGCCCCGAGGGGCTTGGCTCCCGGCTCACACCCTCCGCCGGGACCCGCCGCTGTCGCCGCCCTGGGCTCGGGTGCAAGCCAAAGGTGCGGGGCGCAGGGTGGGATTCGGGGCTTCTCCCCAGGAGCGGCCAAGTTTGACCTACCCCACCTGGGAGGCAGATGAAGGTCTGTCCCTCCCTGAGTCACTGACCCCGCGAACAGCCGGGAGGGGGTGTTCGGGTGGCTCCGTGACCCCTTCAGCCTGGTAGCACTGGCTCCCTGGCCCAGCTGAGGGGTGAGGGAACAGGCAGGTGGTTCGTGTTGTCTGGGCCATTAGTCTAGCTGGTGGCGGGGGGGCCGCAGGTGATGTGGAGGCTCAAGGGGAACGCCGGGAATCCACACCGAGCCTCCCCGCCCCCCCCCCCGCCGCCGGCCGGGGTAGCGGAGCTGGAAAGCCAGCTCTCCTGCTCAGGCTTCAGGCCCACGCGCCCCACCTGCTGAAACGCACGTGCCTGATGAAGGGCCAGGGAGGCCGCGCGGGCTGGAGCGGCGAACACTGCCCCTACTGAGGCGAGGGGCTGGGCGCCAAGGAACAGGCCTGTTTCCCCGGTCCCAGCTGGGGATCTGCTGCTCCGAAGTGCCTGGGCCCCGCGCGGAGGGGCAGCGGGAGGAGCCGCAGAGCGTCGGCGGGCGCCGAGCCCAGGGTCCAGCCCGCGCCGCGGCGCCTCGGGGGGCTGTCGCGGGGCGGGCGCGCCGACGCACGGAGTCTTGGCTTTGACAGGGAGCGGCCTCCGTTAGTGCAAGCCCCTCCAGCTGAGGACTAAAGGCTGCCCTCCGCCCCGGGCTCCGTCTGCGGCTGACCTGCTGGCGTCGGTCTCAGACATCACGTCCCTCCGTGCCCAGTGTCCCGTGTGTGTTTCCCAAGAGACGAGGACGTTCGCTTTCACCGCACCAGGCCGCCGACCCCAGCGGTGCCCGGCTGCCACCTCCTGCACAACTGTCAGTTGGCACGAGGGCTTTCTCAGTTGTTGTTCCCCCCCCCCCGGCCAAGATGCGGGGTCCCTTGTTGCATCGAGAGGTGTCTTGTCCCCTTCACTCCAGGACAGGTTTCTCGGCCTGCATCTGTTTGGCACGACGTTGGCATGTTTGACGTGTCCGAGCGGTTGTGTCCCGGGCTGCGCCTCAGTCTGGATTCATCTGGTGGTTTCTCCCGGACTGGCTGGCTTCGTGGTCCGTATTTGTGGCCGTGAGAATGTGGTGAAGTCCCCGTTTTATGCCGACTTCCGTTGTTTGTTATGTTACTCTTTTCCGAATTAATCTGAGGTTTCTCAGTTTTTGCAGTCTAAGGAAACACCTTTTGGCTTTCCTGACTTTGGGTATTGTGGTTTTAAATTTTGTTTGATGCTTTGTTTCCTTCTATTTTTGGATTCCATATGCAGTGCTTTTTCCAGTTTCCTGGGCTGAATGTTCATGGATTTTTCAGTCTTTTTTTTCTAATAAATGAATTTAAAGTTATACATTTCTCTCTACGCACGGCTTTAGCTTCACTTCAGAAAACTCGATATATTGTATTTTCATTCTTTCGGTATTCTCAGTTCCATTGGGCCTTATCCTTTGACTTATCAGTTATTGAGAGGAGTATTATTTTATTAACATGGGACTTTCCTTGGTATTTTTTGTTATTGATTTTCTTTAAATTGTGGTAAAATACACATAAGGGAGAATTTACCATTTTTCTTTAAAAATATACAATTCCGTGGCATTTTGCCCACGTACGGTGTATGTAACCAGCTGCACTATCTTGTTCCAGAACATTTTCGTCACCTCAAAAGAAAACTCCATACCCATTGGTATTGATTTTTACCTTCATTGCATTGTGGTCTCAGAACATTTCCTGATTATTTAAATTCTTTGAGGGACGCCTGGGTGGCTCAGTTGTTAAGCGTCTGCTTTTGGCTCAGGTCATGATCCCAGGGTCCTGGGATCGAGCCCCGCATCGGGCTCCCTGCTCTGGGGGAAGCCTGCTTCTCCCTCTCCCACTCCCCCTGCTTGTGTTCCTTCTCTCGCTGTGTCTCTCTCTCTCAAATAAATAAATAAAATCTGTAAAAAAAAAATAAATAAATTCTTTGAAACGTATTGGGATTTACTTCATGGTCCCTAAGTCACTTTTTTGTAAAAACCAAATATTGTTTAAGAGATTCTTTTTTGATGTGATGAGCACTGGGTGTTGTATGCAACTAATGAATCATTGAATGCTACACCAAAAACTAATGATGTACTATGTGTTGGCTAACTGAATTTAAATAAAAAAAGAAAAAAACCAACAAAACAAAAATAAAAAAACACTTCTATCTTCAGGGAAAAAAAAGATTCTTTTTTCCACTTTGATACATTAACTCTAGTTCATTTATTTTGATCGATGCATGATGTCACATTATATAAATATACTTATGAAGTTTCCAGTTTTTCGTTGACACAAACCGTGGTGCAGAGAGCATTCTGGAATGTGTCTCCTTGTTCACAGGTGACAGCTTTTGCGTATGTAAGTAGAAACGGTCTTTGGGTCTTTGCCGGGCTTTGGGCTCGTTGTTTTTTCAGCTTTACCAGATATGGCCAAATTGCCTTCCACAGCAGTTGGATCAGCACGCAGCCTTCCAATAGGGCAGGAGGGCATCCATCCCTCGGTACCACCGGCTTTACACTTTTTCTTCAACCTGACTGTGATTTTAACTTGCATTTCCTTGGTTGTTATTGCACATCTTTCTCACATGTTTATTGGCCATTGTGGTTTCTGCTGTGAAGGGCCATTCACATCCTTTGCTCCTTCCCTTGTTGATTCGTAATGGTCTCATGGGTTATATTTCAGATGCTAATCGTTTGTCAGCTGTATAGTTGCAAAAAGGCTCATCTAGTGTGTAGCTTCCACTTTTTAAAATGGTTTTGCAGGGGCGCCTAGGTGGCCCAGGCAGGTAAGCGTCCAACTCTTGATTTTGGCTCAGGTCATGAGCTAAGGGTCCTGAGATCCAGCCCCATGGTGGGCTCTGCTCTCACTAGAGAGTCTGCTTGAGATTCTCTCTCTCCCTCTGCCCCTCCCCCCAGGTGCACTAAGTAAATAAATAAATAAAATCTTAAAATGGATTTTGCATTTCAACGTTTACTCTTTAAAAAATTGTCTTAGAAGTTTTTTCTGTCCTCTGCAAACATTTCAAATACACATTTTTGTGGTAAAAAGTGACAGTCCCTTCTGGGGGTGCATCCTTCCAGACCTTTTCTTGTGCATCTATGAACATCTTATTTATGTGTCCACTCCCTGCCCCCCAGTGAGATGAATCCTCCATGCATTATTTAGCTTTATTCACTTTACATTTCTTCATGTCAATACATTTGAACAATTTATTCTTTGTAACCGATTTGAGACATTCAGTTGTATGGTTTTACCTCCAGTTCTGCCCAATTGCTCTCCTTTTCCACTCCAATGCACCGGGAGGTACCTGTTTTCCCACATCTTCCCAACACTAGAAATCACCAGGCATCTGGGGCGCCTGGCTGGCTCAGTCAGAA